ACACTAGGAGTTCCCAAAATTCTTTAAATTTTTTTCTAAAATAAAACAAAAGAACTTCCGTATGTTTTTGAAAACTTTTCAAATATAAAACACTACTAGCTCAAAAGATTCTTCCAAAAGCTTTTAAAAATAATACAACAGGAGTTCCCGAAATTTTTAAAACCTTTCAAAAATAAAACACAAGGCTCTCCCAAGAATCGTTGAAACTCTTCCAAAAATAAAACACTAGAGGTGGCCGAGATTTTTAAAATCCTTTCAGAAATAAAACACTAGGAGCTCTCAAGATTCTTTCAAACTTTTTCTGAAATAAAACACTAGGGGTTCCTGAGATTTTTTTAACTATTTCAAATATAAAACACTAGAGGTTTGCCCGATTTTTAAAATCCTTCAAAAATAAAATACTAGGAGCTGTCAAGATTCTTTCAAACTTTTTCTAAAATAAGACAGTGGAGGACGCCGAGAATTTTAAAAATCTTTCAAATATAAAACATTAGGGGTCTGGAAGACTTAAAACCCTTCAAAAATAAAACACCATAGCTCTCAACATTTTTTCAAACCCTTTAAAAAATAAAACACTAGCAGCTCCCAAGATTCTTTAAAATTTTTTCTAAAATAAAACAACAGAAGTCCCCGAGATTAAAACCTTTCAAAAATAAAACACTAAGGGTCTCTGAGATTTTTAAAACTCTGTCAAATATAAAACAGCAGGAATTCCTGATATTTTTAAAACCTTTTCAAAAATAAAGCACAAAGAACTCGTAAGAGTTTTTTAAACGTCTTCCAAAATAAACCACTAGGGGTCTCCGAGATTTTTAACTCTCAAGAATAAAACACCAGGAACCTCTAAGATTATTTCAAACTCTTTCAAAAATAAAACAAGACGGATTCCTGAAAATATTAAAACTACTTTAAAATTAAAAGGCTAGGGGCTCCGAGATTTTTAAAACTCTTTCAAATATAAAACATTAAAAGTTCGTGAGATTTTTAAAACTATTTCAAATATAAAACACTAGGAGCTCCCAAGATCCTTTCAAATTTTTTCTAAAATAAAACAACAGAAGTCCCGGAGATTTTTAAAATCCTTTCAAATATAAAACACCACTAACTCCCAAGATCCTTCCAAAAGCTTTTAAAAATAAAACAACTTTTTTTTTTAGAGTTTGTAAAAGTCCTCAAGATTTTTAAAACTCTTTCAAAAATAAAACACTATGAACTCTCGAGGTTCTTCCAATTTTTTTTTCTAAAATAAAACAACAAAAGTCCCCGAGATATTTGAAATCCTTTCGAATATAAAACACCACTAATTCCCAAGATTCTTCCAAATGTTTTTAGCAGTAAAATAACAGGATTCCCCGAGATTTTTAAACTTTTTCTGAAATAAAACACTAGGGGTTCTTGAAATTTTTAGAACTCTTTCAAATATAAAACACTAAAGGTACATAAGATTTTTAAAACCCTTTCAAAAATAAAACATTAGGAAGTCTGAAGATTCTTTCAAACTTTCTAAAATAAAACACTGGAGGTCCCCGAGAATTTTAAAACTTTTTCAAATATAAAACACTAGTGGTCACCGAGATTTTTAAACCCTTTCAAAAGTAAAACACCAAAGCTCCCAAAATTTTGTCAAACCCTTCCAAAAATAAAACACCAAAGGTCCCCAAGATTTTTAAAACCCTTTCAAAAAGAAAATACTAGAAGCTCTCAAAATTCTTTCAATTTTTTTCTAAAATAAAACAATAGAAGTCCCCGAGATATTTGGAATCCTTTCAAATATAAAGCACTCCTAGCTCCCAAGATTCTTCCAAAAGTTTTTAACAGTAAAACAACAGGATTCCCCGAGATTTTTATAACCCTTTCAAAACCTAGGGGCTCCCAATATTAATTTAAACTTTTTCAGAAATAAAACACTAGGGGTACTTGAAATTTTTGAAACTCTTTCAAATATAAAACACTAAAGGTACATGCGATTTTTAAAACCCCTTCAAAAATAAAACATTAGGAAGTCTCAAGATTCGTTCAAATTCTTTCTAAAATAAAACACTGGAGGTCCCCGAGAATTTGAAAACTCTTTTAAATATAAAACACTAGTGGTCTGCGAGATTTTTAAAACCCTTCAAAAATAAAACACCAAAGCTCCCAAAATTTGCTCAAACCCTTTCAAAAATAAAACAATAAAATCCCCAAGATTTTTAAAACCCTTTCAAAAATAAAACACTAGGAGCTCTCAAGATTCTTTCAATTTTTTTCTAAAATAAAACAACAGAAGTCCCCGAGATATTTGAAATCCTTTCAAATATAAAACACTCCTAGCTTCCAAGATTCTTCCAAAAGTATTAAACAGTAAAATAACAGGATTCCCAGAGATTTTTAAAACCCTTTGAAAAACTAGGGGACAACAGTATTAATTTAAACTTTTTCTGAAATAAAACACTAGGGGTTCTTGAAATTTTTGAAACTCTGTCAAATATAAAACACTAAAGGTACATGAGATTTTTAAAACCCTTTCAAAAATAAAACATTAAGAAGCCTCAAGGTTCGTTCAAACTCTTTCTAAAATAAAACACTGGATGTCCCCGAGAATTTGAAAACTTGTTCAAATATAAAACACTAGTGGTCTGCGAGATTTTTAAAACCCTTCAAAAATAAAACAATAAAGTCCCCAAGATTTTTAAAACCCTTTCAAAAATAAAACACCATGAACTCTCGAGATTCTTTCAATTTTTTTTCTAAAATAAAACAACAGAAGTCCTCGAGATATTTGAAATCCTTTCAATTATAAAACACCACTAGTTCCCAAGATTCCTCCAAAAGTATTTAACAGTAAAACAACAGGATTCCCCGAGATTTTTAAAACCCTTTCAAAAACTAGGGGCTCCCAATATTAATTTAAACTTTTTCTGAAGTAAAACACTAGGGGTTCTTGAAATTTTTGAAACTGTTTCAAACATAAAACACTAAAGGTACATGAGATTTTAAAACCCTTTCAAAAATAAAACATTAGGAAGTCTCAAGATTCGTTCAAGCTCTTTCTAAAATAAAACACTGAAGTCCCCGAGAATTTGAAAACTCTTTCAAATATAAAACACTAGTGGTCAGCGAGATTTTTAAAACCATTCAAAAATAAAACACCAAAACTCCCAAAATTTGTTCAAACTCTTTCAAATATAAAACAATAAAGTCCCCAAGATTTTTAAAACCCTTTCAAAAAAAAAAACACTAGAAGCTCTCAAAATTCTTTCAATTTTTTTCTAAAATAAAACAACAGAAGTCCCGGAGATATTTGAAATCCTTTCAAATATAAAACACTCTTAGCTTCCAAGATTCTTCCAAAAGTTTTTAACAGTAAAACAACAGGATTCCCGAGATTTTTAAAAATCCCTTTCAAAAACTAGGGGCTCCCAATATTAATTTAAACTTTTTCTGAAATAAAACACTAGGGATTCTTGAAATTTTTGAAACTGTTTCAAATATAAAACACTAAAGGTTCATGAGATTTTTAAAAACCTTTCAAAAATAAAACATTAGGAAGTCTCAAGATTCGTTCAAACTCTTTCTAAAATAAAACACTGAAGATCCCCGAGATTTTTAAAACCCTTTCAAAAATAAAACACTAGGAGCTCTCAAGATTCTTTCAATTTTTTTCTAAAATAAAACAACAGAAGTCCCCGAGATATTTGAAATCCTTTCAAATATAATACACTCCTAGCTCCCAAGATTCTTCCAGAAGTTTTTAACAGTAAAACAACAAGATTCCCAGAGATTTTTAAATCTCTTTCAAAAATAAAACTTTAAGAAGTCTCAAGATTCTTTCAAACTTTTTCCAAAATAAACCATTAGGTGTTCCAGAAGTTTTTAACTCTCGGGACACGAGGGACATCTAAGATTTTTTCGTACTCTTTTAAAAATAAAGCAAGGATCCCCTGGGTTATTAAAGCCATTTTAAAATTAAAAGGGTATGAGTCACTGGGATTTTTAAAACTCTTTGAAAAATAAAACACTTGGGCTGATTTCCGAGATTTCTTCAGCTTTTCTCAAAAATAAAATCCAAGTGTCCGAAAACTCTAATACAGCCTTCTAAAAATTGGTCTAAAGTCATTTAAACAGAACTTCCCTTATCCCTGAAGTACAAACAATTTTATTTTTTATTAAATTATAGGTAGAGAAGTATGCTGTGCGTATTTTTCAAGTGAAATTTACTAAATAAAGTTTTATGACGTCATCAAATTTTTAGTAACTAGAGACAAATATATTTGAATTAGAACATTTTGTTAATGCTTGAACACTTTACCTACAACAAAATTAAAAGTAGGTCGAAAAAAAAGAGAAAGTAAAATCATACAAAAATAGCTTGAGATAATAAAATCGACACAGTTAAGATGTGAACAAATTTTAAATGAAGAGGGATAAGATCAGTATTATTCAATTTAAGGGAAAAGAAAAAAAAAGTGAAAACTCTGTTCGGTATATTTTTTACATATTTTCAGATAAGTACGTTCTCAGAACGAAAAGAAAAACGCATGAGAACAAAAAACAACAAAAAAGAAAATGATAAAAGTAAGGCGTCTGGTAAATGTTCCATAAAAGCTATTTTGAATTTAACTTCTCATGAATTAGCGATGAAAGCACAGTTAAACTCGAATGTTACGATCTAAGATCATAATTTTTTCAGATATTTCCAACTTTAAAAACAAGACAAAAACTGATGAAGGTTAATGTTAATATAATTCGAGACTGCTAGTTACACAGAACCACAGTTGACAAAAAAGCTGTTTAAAGTAGTATTACTTTAGAAAAATAAAACGCAAATATCATTTCTTGCTTACTTTATTTATTTTTATTTTGTTGGCATTCTTCGAATTAAAGCCGGTTTCACACTTGAAAAAATTGACAATTCCGAATAAGTGCGCACTTTCAGTCCCCTCTCCCCTGAAAAATCAATCCTTTTTGCAAACCGGCCCTCGCAGCCCCCATAAAAATATAAGAAGCATAACCCCACTCACATTAAATTCTTTTATTCTCCTTCGCCGCCTTCTCCTCCTGCTTCAATCTGCTAATAGCGTGCACCGAACCGAAGAGGACTTTGGCAGTAACTTGTATGTTCCTCTGCTTGTTTCCCTGCGGATGGTTCCTTTCTGCTATTCCAGCTGTTATTGGGGCAGGATAAGTGTTATTGTTCGCGTCTCTCAGCGTGCATGACTTACAGTTCTCGGGCATCTTCATTTGCGTTTTGAACACTTGCCTGAAATTGTAACGCTGTTTTTTAACCCGGCTTTAACGACGAGGGAATGGTTTTATCGCGTTCATCGGATAAATTATGTTTGGATTTTTTCGGGCGTAATGACGCTGCGAGCTTCCGCTCGATTATTTTCTTTGTTTATGGAGGAAATTTCTTGGATGACCTGAATTGGGATCGCTGATGGAGGGCCGTGTTTTGATGGGTTGTTTGGGTAATGAGCTCGGCGGATGAGTGGACGAGAGGAAATTGCGACGTTTGGGTGGTGGTGAAATGGGGTGGTGCGTGGGTGCGGGAGGCGGATTTTACGTGTTTTGGGTTTCTGGGTCTTTGATTTCGTTTTTGCGCTGAGTATGAACTCTGGCACTCATTTTTGGTACTTGTGTTCAAAAACGAATTTTGTTTACTTCGAAATTGGGGGTGGTTTTAGTTTTTGTTTATAGAGTCCATACTAAGATTAAAATTAAAATCATGTCAGGTACCAGTTTGTAGTAGGGGTTCTAGGTGTTCTTGTTGGCGGGAAATTTTGAATTTCGGTCCACTTTGGCCAAAGTCGATTCATTTCGGTGATTGTTTTGCATAGGGCCATAAAAAAGCAACAAAAAACATGATAAAAAACAAAAAAAAAACGCTACAAAAATTGCACAAAAAAATGTGTCAAAAAAGGCATCAAATTCGATAAAAAGACCAAAAAAATGCAACAAAAAAAGAGACAAAAATGACAAAAAAAGTCTTCAAAAAAAGGACACAAAAATGTGTCAAAAAAGATAATAAAAAAGTCACAAAAAAAACGAACTAAAAATAGAACAAAAAAGAGACAAACATTGTTCAGGCACAAAAAAGCGAAAAAAAAGGAAGAAAAAAAGTGACAAAATATCTCCCAAAAAAGAGTAAAAAAAAAAATTGTACAAAAAAATGTCACAAAAAAAGGGAAACAAAATGCAGAAAAAGTCCACAAAAAGTGAAAAAAAGCGATAAATAATTGTATCCGACAAAAAGTTGTAAAAAAAACAGCAAAAACATCCACTAAAAAATGCGACAAAAAAGAGATAAGAAAGGGAGTAAAACACGAGAAGACAAAAACCCCAAAAACACAAAAAAAGGCGACAAAAAGGTGACAAAAAGAGCGCCAAAAAGAGCACAAAAATTGCATAAAAAAAAAACGAACAAACTAGCTATAAAAGAAGTCAAAAAATCCGAAGAAAAGGTGACATTAAAGACCTCAAAAATATGTCAAAAAACTGGCAAAGAAGGTCTCAAAAAATGCTACAAAAAGTTTATTAAAAGTGACAAAATAACGGCCACCAAAAAAAAGTCCTACAAAAAAGGGGCGAAAAAAGCGATAAAAAAAGGACAAAAATGTTCACACAAAAGCAACAAAAAAGCAAAAAAAAACTCCACAAAGGTCACAAAAAAGTGTCAACACAACTGATGATAAAAGAAAGATTTAAAAATTGGCAAAAAAGGGCGACAATAAAATCCACAAAAAATGCATTAAAAAGTGACAAAAAAAACAGCAAAATGCCATAAAAAGTACAAAAAATCTAATAAAAAAAGGGGGACAAAATGCGGAAAAAAGTCCATAACAAAAAAGAAAAAAGTGACAACAAATGTGACCAAAAGGGTGACAAAATAAGTGAAAAAGGGGCTAAAAAATGCAACAAAAAAGAATTCAAAAAATGTGTCAAAAAAGGCAATTATTAAAAGCGACAAAAAAGCTACGAAAAATGGGACAAAAAAGAAACAAAAATATTTAACGATAGCTATAAAAAAGCGACAAAAAGCAAGAAAGAAAGGGTGACATAATATGTACCAAAAAAAAAAGAGTCAAAAAGGCCTCAACAATGCGATAAAAATGTAACAAAAACAAACCACAAAAAATACGACCAAAAAGGGACAAAAAAGAAAAAAAAGCAATTACAAAAGTAAAAAAAGTGACAAAATTGGTATCAAAAAAGAGTAAAAATGCACAAAAAAAGCGGTAAAAGAAATCTCAATAATGTGAGAAAAAGTAATAAAAAAAGGGAACAAAAAATGGGGAAAAGTCCACAAAAAGAGAAAAAGCGACAAATAAATGTATCTGACAAAAAGTTGTCAAAAAACGCTGAAAAAAGGACTCAAAAATGCGACAAAAAAGTTATTAAAACACAGCAAAAAATCCACTAAAGTCGAAAAACAAGAGACAAAAAAGGAAATAAAAAACAAAAAGACACAAAAACTCCAAAAAAACACAAAAAAGGCGATGAAAAGGTGACAAAAGAGCGCCAAAAAGACCACAAAAATTACACCAAAAAAAAAAAAAAAACGAACAAACTGGTTATAAATGAGGTCAAAAAATCCAAAAAAATGGCGACAATAAAGGCCTCAAAAATATGTCAAAAAGGTCCATTTGGAAAAGAGTAAAAAAAGCCATAAAAATTGCAGAAAAAAAAGTGGCAAAGGTCTCAAAAAATGCTACAAAAAGTTCATTAAAAAAGTGACAAAATAATGGCCACTAAAAAAAGTGCGTCAAAAAAGGGTCGAGAAAAGCGATAAAAAAGGATAAAAATGTTCTCAAAAAGCGACAAAAAAAGCAAAAAAAAAATAAAAAGGTCTCCAACAAGAAAGTGTCAAAAAAAAAGGGCGATAATAAAATCCACAACAAATGCATTAAACAAGTGACAAAAAAAGGGGACAAAAATGCGGAAAAAAAGTCCATAAGAAAAAAGAAAAAAGTGACAACAAATGTGACCAAAAGGATGAAAAAATAAGTGAAAAAGGGGTCAAAAAAATGCGGCAAAAAAGAACTCAAAAAATGTGTCAAAAAGGCAATTAAAAAAGCGACAAAAAGGCTACCAAAAATGGGACAAAAAAGAAACAAAAAAATTCTTAATCATAGGCATAAAAAAGCAAGAAAAAAATGGTAACATAATATGTACCAAAAAAGAGTCAAAAAAGGTCTCAACAATGCTATAAAAATGTAAGAAAAATAGACCACATAAAATGCGACAAAAAAGGGACAAAAAAGAAAGAAAAAAATACAATAAAAAAAATGAAACAATACACAAAACAAACTTCAAAAAAGCAAAAAAAGTGACAAAATTGGTATCAAAAAAGAGTAAAAAAATGCACAAAAAAGCGGCAAAAGAAATTTCAATAATGTGAGAAAAAGTAACAAAAAAAAGGTCAAAAATGCGGGAAAGTCTACAAAAAGAGAAATAAGCGACAAATAGATAGATGTAGTCGAAAAAAGGTGTCAAAAATATGTGAAAAAAGAGTCAAAATGCGACAAAAAAGACTATTAAAAAACAACAGAAAAAGCCACAAAAATATGACAAAAAGGAAGTAAAAAACAATAAAAAAGGCACAAAAAGAACCGAAAAAGCACAAAAAAGGTGACGAAAATGGCCCATTTGGAAAAGAGAGAGAAAAAGGCCACGAAAAGTGAAAAAAAGCGACTAATAAATATGTCCGAAAAAAGGTGCCAAAAAATGCGGGAAAAAAGACTAAAAAAAATACGATAAAAGGTTATTAAAAAACCCAAAAAAAAAATACAAAAATGCACCAAAAAAATAGACAAGGGAAAAAAGTGATAAATAATTGTTCACTAAAAAAAGTGTCAAAAAATATGGAAAAAAGTATCCAAAAATGTGACAAAAAACTAGTAAAAAAAATGCGACAAAAAAGAGACAAAAAGGAAGTAAAAAAAAATAATACAATATAGCCAAAAAAGGGTACAAAAATTACACAAAAAAGTGGCAAAAAATGAACAAATTGGCAATAAGACGTCAAAGAATGCGCAAAAAAGGCGACAATAAGGGCCTTAAAAATGTGTGAAAAAGGTCAATTTGGAAAAAAGGAAAAAAAGGCCCATTTCGAAAAAAGAGAAAAAAAGGTCCATTTGGAACAAAGAGGAAAAAAGGCCCATTTGGGAAAAAAGAAAAACAAAGGCCCATTTGGAAAAAAGAGAAAGAAGACCATTAAAATTGCACCTAAAAAGATGACAGAAAATCTCAAAAATTGCGACAAAAAGTTCATTAATCAAGTGCAAAAAAGGTCACCAAAAAAAGTGCGACAAAAAGGAGAGACAAAACGATAAAAAAACACAAAACGGTTCACAAACGATAAAAAATGAGCAAAAAGGCACAAAAAGGCTTAAAAAATGCGACAAGAACTTCATCAAAAAAGTGACAAAAAAGTAACCAAAAAAGCAAAAAAAATGTGATAAAAGAGATTCCTAAAAAAGGCCACAAAAAGTGGCAAAAATACTGACGATACAAGAGAGGTCTAAAGATTGGCAAAAAAGCGACAAAAAAAATCTTTAGAAAAATAAGTCAGAAAGGCCACAAAAATTGAATTAAAAAAACTCGAAAAAAAGCCTCAAAAAATGTAACAAAAAAGAAGCGAGAAAAGCGATAACAAAGGGATCACAAAAGTTCTCAAAAAAGCAACAAAAAGCAACAACAAAATGGGTGATAAAAAGCGACAAAAGTGGGCCAGGAAAATGCGAAAAAAGGCTGCAAAATAAAGGTCTCAAAAATGCGAGAAAAAGTTCATTAAAAAACTGGCAAAGGGCATAAAAAAAGTGCGCCAAAAAAGGAGAGAAAAAACGGTAAAAACAAAGGGCAAAAAAGTTTACAAAAAAAGAGACAAAAAAAAGTAATAAAAAAAAAGAGAGTCTCAAAAAAAAACCACAAAAAGTAGCAAAGGAATGAAAAGTTGACTGTAAAAGAGAGGTTTAAAGATTGATAGATAAAGGGTTATAATAAAATACGACAAAAAGGGCCATAAAAATTGCATAAAAAAAGTCGGCAAAAAAACCTTAAAAAATAAGCGATACCAAAGGAGACAAGATAAGTTCTCAAAAAAAAACAAAGGAAGCAAGAAAAAAGGGGACAAGTAGACGAAAAAAAAGCAACAAAAAATGGGACAAAAAAAACAAAAAAAAGTGAAAAAAGAAAGCGCTAAAAGGGGGCCAAAAAGAACCAAAAAATGGGAAAAAAGAGCAATTATAAAATTGGCAAAAAAATGTTACTTACAAAAAAAACGGAAGAAAAAACTACAAAAAAAACTATTAAAATGGAACAAAAAGTTCACAAAAAAACCGCCAATAAATCAACAAAAAATGTGTCAATAAAAACAAGAAAACTGGCTAAAAAAGAGTTCAAGAGATATTCAAATAAGGGCGAAAATAAAGGCCTCAAAAAATGAGACAAAAGAGGCCAAAAAATTGCACAAAAGAAAGTAGCCAAAAAAGCCTTTAAAAAGCGATAATAAAAAGGCAAATCATTGTGATAAAAAAACCTACAGAAAGGCAACAAAAATTCCACTGAAAACATGGCAAAAAAAGTAAAAAAACAGCGATAAAAAAGGCACATTTAAAATAAGACGCGACAAAAAACAACAAAAAACATGGTAGCAAAGGCGAAAAAAATTGCTGTGAAGAGGTCAAAAATATGAAAAAAAACGACAAAAAAGGAGTAATTTAAAAACATCAACGTCACTAAAAACGACAAAGAAGGCAAGAAAAAAGTGACAAAAACAACAAAAAAGACTAAATTATTCTACAATGAATTGGGTGAGTCGATTGTGTCCGAAGTAAACCGAAATTCAAATTTTCCTGCCAACAAGTGGTCTAGAACCCCGAAGGGGTCAACTGAGGTCAAAGTGGCCTAGAAGCCTCACTACATAACTGTATCTGGTTTTAATCCTGGGTGTGAATGTAACAAAACCTCTGTTTTTGCTTAACAACATAAATTTGATTTTTAGTTTAATATTAGTTTTTTCTGAAAAGATCAATAAAACGAATAGGTAAATACTGGCAAATCAAATTTAAAGTTATTTTATGAAAAAAAAAGTACTTTAATGACATTAATCGAAAAACTGGCACAGTAGCTGGAAATTTCAAACTGTATATTAAATTTCTACTTGTGGGTAATTTTCAGAACCGATAACAATTTTATTTATTTTTTTTTTTCAATGTGCAATCAAAATTCTGAGAAATTTTTTGAATATTGTATGAGATTAAATTTTGAATCATGATTATTAAAATATTTAAAACTACTTCTATTTTAGTAATATTAATCGAGAAAAATGGCCTCTTAATTAGCTATAAAAATCAACGTGATATAAAAATTCTGAATTATTTTCATATTTTAACAACATGAAGTTTTTTATAAACATTGAAAATAACCAACAGAAAAATGAACTCTCAGAAACTATTATTGAGTATTATTTCCTTTTTTAATTAATCGTCGTTCTTTCACTTATTTCGTCCAATGTCCAAAGGATCCACAATTTAATTCCTGACGTAATCTTCTAGAAATTTTAATAATTTAAATATGTTGATATTTAAAAGTACAAGCCGTGACTCTCCTACTTTAATTGACTCAAATAATTATACGTTCCTCGTTGCATAAAATCACTTAACATCAAAATTAATTTTTTACTACGCAGTTACAACAAACGTTTTTTTAAATTTGAATATTTTCCACGAAAATAAACACCATCCTCAAAATCACCACATCAACAGTTATAACATCTCCATTATTAATTCCGAAACCAAAAAAATGACAACTTCATTAGAATAAAAAACTCCGTGATGAACAGTGTAAAATAGTCAATTATTAAAAGAACAAAAAATAAGGTAACGGTACCACCTATAGATCGACTGCATTATAATAATATGCACAACGTCCCATAAATTTGTCGCAGCTAGAGGTAGATTTCTAAACCCATTGACCTGTAAAGCCCCCCATTAAAAAGGCGAATCAAGCACGGAAAAAATAAAAATTGCTTGGTACTCCCGGATAAAGTGCATTTAAACGCTAGTTAGGAATCCGCGCAATCTTGCCTAGATACCGGAATGCATTAACCTGAAAAATCCAAACAAAGAAATCCCGATGTCACAAAACGCACGATAACGCGATGCATTTACATAATACATTTTGCATGCAACACGCACCGACTAATCGCTATGAGGTAAGAAATGACGAAAGTTCGGTACTTACGCTTATCAGTACTCAGTGTGTTGAAACTTCCTCGACTAACACAGCAAACTTCATATCCAAAGCAGCAGCGAAATGTGTAACAGGGACAGGATAGCAAGTATTGAGAATGAGGCGGGTACTACCGACACACTGACTGAATGAACTGGTACCGCTCTGTACGTACGACGTCTAGTCTGCGATATTTCGTATACGGGTTCAATTCTTCGGTTTTGTCTGCACTCTCTATTTTCTGGACAGAGGTGAAAGGTTCAGGCGCAAGGTGCGTCGAGTTCGGCACCATCTGCTGGGGTACTGATCTGGAAACGGCGTTTTTGCGAGAAAGCAGCTCCTGGTTGAGCCACCTGTCCACAGGTGCGCTTTTTGTCAGTACCTAAACCTAGCCGGCGTGGAACGCCAAAAAACCTCTTCCTCTCTAATTATTATTACTCATTGACGTCACCAGTTCATTGCCCAAAAACCGTAATCCTAACAATGCGCTTTTTGTGGGACCCAGTACACCCATCAAGCATAACCAGTAGCCCAATTAGATGGTCATCGGCTGGAATCTGCTCTACTGGTGTGTCCAACAGTAGCCGAACTCGAATAAACCCATTATTTACATGCAGAGAGTAGAGTTGACGGTACTACCATGATTGCGTGGTGGGAGTACCGCCTGACCCAACGATGACTAACCCCGTGACCTACTAATTTAATCCGCGATCGGTTTGTGTAGCTGTTCTAAGCGAAATTGGTTAACGTTTGTTTGAGGGTTTTCGTTAATTGCGAGGTGGCTTTGGTACTTTCATTTATATGCAGATTGGTGCATTGAAGCAAGTGGGTTAGTGGGTTGGTTTTTTTGATTGGTTGAGGTTGAGGTGGGTTGTGCTGTGGTGGTTCTATGCACTAGTAAGTTCAAAGGTCGGTTTTTCTGGGTACTAATTGCTTGTTAACATAGATGTAGCGGAACGGTGCGGTTTCGAAGAATGGGTACTGTTTTACGGTTACACTGTGGGTAAATGCGGACCTGATTTAGATGGGAGTAGTGGAAATGGAAGACAATTGCTCAGATAATAGCCGGAATGGATACAGCTACGATAGAACAATTTAGGAATGATGGTACCGAAATGAAGAGTCAGAATTAACATTAGTTGTCGTGCAAAGCGGGTTATGTAAAAGTAGATCTGGAACACGAAATAAAATTTAAAAGATATACCAAGCAGGTTCAAAAATCAAAAAATTGCGTCTTATAAAAATTCGAGTACCACATTGTCAGAGTCGAAAAAAAGTCATAAAAAACCTTAGCTTGGGAAAATGTAACAAGACTTCAAAATTAAAGCAAAAAGTGCTAGAAAAATTAAATACAGCGAAATAGACATGACAACATTGCAAGGGATTTTAACAAATTTTGAAATATGATGGAGAATAAAGAAAATAAAATGGAAATAAAACAAAGAATAAAATTTGTGAAACGTTGCAAAATAGGCGGCTTCTTTACTTGGGGGTCATAAGGGCACTGTATTCGTTGAATTAGTTCGTCGAGATCTATATTTCAGACTTTTTTGACGATTTCTTCAAAAATTTAATTGAGTTTTCAGAAATTATTTTCGGCCTCATTTCTTCGAAAAATTTTACCATTTTCTCGGAATCGCTCCATAAATATGGAAATTTTTAGAATAAAAAAAAAATCAAATTGGATATTTCTACAATTAAGCTTCGTGACGATTAAGATCCTATATTTTTCAAATCTGTACGTCCAGTTCCACATTTTAGAATTTTCTGCGTATTTTAAAACAATTTTTTGAAAAGCTCTTTTTCCCAAAATGAAATGGTTTTCAAACTGAATCCTTACAGTCGAGCTCCGGGACCATAAGGACGCTATTGATCTAAATCTCAGATTTTTTGGCAAATTTTCAGACAACTTTTTCAAAAGCTCAGTTTTCTAAAAAAAGGCCTTTATTCGACGTCTTGAAAAATAAAATATATAAACTTTTTCGTTGATTTCGAGTTCCAGAGGCTACTTTCGGCCTCATTTTATCAAAAATTCTTACCATTTTCTCAAAATCGCTTCATAAATATGGAAATTGTTAGAATAAAAAAAAAATACAAATTGGATATTTCTACAATTAAGCTTCGTGACGATTAAGCCCCTATATTTTTCAAATCAGTACGTCCAGTTCTACATTTAAGATTTTTTTGGGAATTTTAAAACAATTTTTTAAAAAGCTCATTTTTTCAAAATGAACATTTTGATCTTTTGCGAATAGATTTGAAAATGAACTAGATATATTTTTGATAGATGTCGACCCCTAGAAATTATCTTCTGTCTCATTTCTTTGAAATCGCTAACTACTTTCCCAGAATTGTTAAATAATATATGGAGATTTTCAAAAATAAAAAAGATATTTAAATTGAATATTTCTATGTATAATCAAGCTTCCGGACCATAAAGTCGCTATATTTTTTGAATTAGTACGTCGAGCTCTATATCCTAGAATTTTTAGGCAACTTTTTCAAAAGTCAAGTTTTTAAAAACGAAAATTTTGACCATTTTCGAAAATGAACTAAACATACTTTTTTGTAGATTTCGTCTTCCAGAAGTTATTTTCGGTCTCATTTTTTCGAAAATTCTTACCATTTTCTCAGAATCGCTCGATGGATTATGGAAATTTTTAGGATGTTTTAAAAAACTGGTTTTCAAATTGAATCCTTACCGTCAAGCTCTGGGACCATAAGGACGCTATTGATTTATATCTCAGATTTTTTGGCAAATTTTCAGACAAGTTTTTCAAAAGCTCAGTTTTCCAAAAAAGGCCTTTATTCCACAGTCTTGAAAAATAAATTATATAACTTTTTTGTAGATTTCTTCCTGAAGCTACTTTCGGCTTCATTTTATCAAAAATTCTTACTATTTTCTCAAAATCGTTCTATAAATATGGAAATTTGTAGAATAAAAAAAAATTTAATTGAATATTTGTACAATTAAGCTTCGTGACGATTAAGACTCTATATTTTTCGAATCAGTACGTCCAGTTCTACATTTCAGTATTTTTGCGAATTTTAAAACAATTTTTTGAAAAGCTCATTTTTTCAAAATGAAAATTTTGACTTTTTGCGAGCAGATTCGAAAATGAACTAACTATACTTTTTATAGATTTCGACCCCTAGAAATTATATTGGGCCTCATTTCTCTCAAGTTTTTACTATTTTCCCAGAATTGCTAAAAGAAATATGGAAATTCCCAGAACTAAAAGAGAGAGATATTTAAATTGAATATTTCTATAATCAAGCTTCTGGACTATAAAGACGGTATATTTTTTTAATTAGTACGACGAGTTCTACATCTCAGATTTTTTGGCGAATTTTTAAACAGTTTTTTCGAAAGCTCAGTTTTCCAAAACAAAATTTTTACCTTTTTTCGGTCATCTTAGAAAATGAACTAAACATACTTTTTTGTAGATTTCGATCTTCAGAAGTTACTTTCGGCTTCATTTCCTCGGAAATTCTTACCATTTTCGCAGAATGGCTTAATGAAATACGAACATTTTTGAATATAAAAAAAATTCATATTCAAATTGAATATTTCTACAATCAAGCTTCGGGACCATAAAAGCACCATATTTTTCAAATCAGTACGTCGAACTCTACATCCCAGACTTTTTGGCAAATTTTTAGGCCATTTTTTCTAAAGCTCAGTTTTTCAAAACGAAAATTTTGACCTTTCTTCGAGCATTTTCTAAAATTAAATAAATAGACTTTTTTGTATGAACATCTCTACAACGAAGCTCTGAGACCATAAAAACAATATATTTTTCAAATCGGTACATCCAGATCTACATTTCTGATTTTGTGCGAATTTTTAGATAACTTTTTGAAAAGCTTATTTTTCCGAAACGAAAATTTTGACCTTTTGGAGCATCTTTGAAAATGAACTAAATATACTTTTTTCTAGATTTCGACCCCTATAAATAATTTTGGGCCTCATTTCTTCCAAAATTTTTGCGATTTTTTGAGAATTGCTAAATGAAAAATGGAAATTCCCAGAATTAAAAAAGAAAGATATTTTAATTGAATATTTCTATAATCAAGTTTCCGGACTATCAAGACGCTATATTTTCGAATTAGTACGACGAGTTCTATATCCCAGATTTGTTGGCGAATTTTTAGACAATTTTCCTCAAAAGTTGTTTTTCAAAACGAATATTTTGGATTTTTTCGAGAATCTTCGAAAATGACGTAAATAGATTTTTCTGTAGATTTCGATCTTCAGAAGTTACTTTTAACTTCCATTTCTTCAAAAACTCTTACCATTTTCCCGGAATCGCTCAATAAAATGGGGAAATTTTTACAATTAAAAAAAATTTGCTTTCAGATTGAATATTTTTACAATCAAGCTTCGGAATCATAAAGATACTATATTTTTTCGAAACGGTACGTAGAGTTCTATATTCCAGTTTTTTTTGGATAATTTTTGGACAACATTTTCAAAAGATTAGTTCTGCAAAGAGAAAATTTTGACTTTTTCGACTTCCAGAAGTCATTTTCGGTCTCATTTCTCCGAAATCTCTTATGGTTTTCCCAAAATGGCTCATTGATATGGGGTAATTTTTTAGAATTTAAAAAAAATGACATTCAAATTAATATTTTTATAATTAAGCTTCGGGACCACAAAGAAGCTTCGAATCAGTACATCGAGTCCTACATCTCAGATTATTTGACGAATTTTTAGAGAATTTTTTTCAAAATTTCAGTTTTTCAAAACGAAAATTTTGACTTTCTTCGAAAATGACGTAAATGGACTTTTTGTAGATTTCGATCTTCAGAAGTTACTTTTGACTTCATTTCTTCAAAAACTCTTACCATTTTCCCGGAATCGCTCAATGGAATGGGGAAATTTTTACAATTAAAAAAAAATTGGCTTTCAGATTGAATATTTTTACAATCAAGCTCCGGAATCATAAAGATACCATATTTTTTCGAAACAGTAAGTCGAGTTCTATATTCCAGATTTTTTTGGATACTTTTTGGACAACATTTTCAAAAGATTAGTTCTGCAAAGAGAAAATTTTGACTTTTTTTTCTAACGTTTTGGAATATAAAGTAAATAGTTTTTTTGCAAGTTTCGACTTCCAGAAGTCATTTTCGGTCTCATTTTTCCGAAATATCTTATCGTTTTCCCAAAATCGCTCATTGATATGGGGTAATTTTTTAGATTTAAAAAAAATTGACATTCAAATTAATACTTTTACAATTAAGCTTCGGGACCATAAAGAGGCTATATTTTTTAAATCAGTACATCGAGTCCTACATCTCAGATTTTTTGGCGAATTTTGAGACAATTTTTTCAAAAGCTCAGTTTTTCAAAACAAAAATTTTGACTTTTTTCGAGAATCTTCGAAAATGACGTAAATACTTTTTTATAGATTTCGATCTTCAGAAGTAGCTTTTGACTTCATTTCTTCAAAAACTCTCACCGTTTTCCCAGAATCGCTCAATAAAATGGGGAAATTTTTACAATTAAAAAAAATTGGCTTTCAGATCGAATATTTTTACAATCAAGGTCCGGAATCATAAAGATACTATATTTTTCGAAACAGTACGTCGAGTTCTATATTTCAGATTTTTTGTATAATTTTTTTTTCAAAAGATTAGTTCTTCAAAGAGAAAATTTTGACTTTTTGTTTCGAACATCTTGGAATATGAACTAAATAGATTTTTTGCAAGTTTCGACTTCCAGAAGTCATTTTCGGTCTCATTTTTCCGAAGTCTCTTATCGTTTCCCCAAAATCGCTCATTAATATGGAGTAATTTTTTGGAATTAAAAAAATATGACATTCAAATTAATATTTTTAAAATCAAGCTTCGGGACCAAAAAGGGGCTATATTTTTCGAATCAGTACATCGAGTCCTACATCTCAGATTTTTTGGCGAATTTTTAGACAATTTTTTTCAAAAGCTCAGTTTTTCAAAACGAAAATTTTAACTTTTTTCGAGAATCTTCGAAAATGACGTAAATAGACTTTTTGTAGAATTCGATCTTCAGAAGTTACTTTTGACTTCATTTCTTCAAAAACTCTTACCATCTTCCCAGAATCGCTCAACAAAATGGGGAAATGTTTACAATTAAAAAAATTGGCTTTCAGATTGAATGTTTTTACAATCAAGCTCCGCAATCATAAAGATACTATATTTTTTCGAAACAGTATGTCGAGTTCTATATTCCAGATTTTTTTGGATAATTTTTGGACAACATTTTCAAAAGATGAGTTCTTCCAAGAGAAAATTTTTACTTTATTATTCGAACATCTTGGAATATGAAATAAATAAATTTTTTGCAAGTTTCGACTTCCAGAAGTCATTTTCGGTCTTATTTTTCCGAAATATCTTATCGTTTTCCCAAAATTGCTCATTGATATGGGGTAATTTTTTGAAATTAAAAAAAAATTGACATTCAAATTAATATTTTGACAATTAAGCTTCGGGACCATAAGGAGACTATATTTTTCGATTCAGTACATCGAGTCCTACATCTCAGATTTTTGGCGAATTTTTAGACAATTATTTTCAAAAGTCCAGTTTTTCAAAACGAAAATTTTGACTTTTTTTGAGAATCTTCGAAAATGACGTAAATAGACTTTTTTGTAGATTTCGATCTTCAGAAGTTACTTTTGACTTTATTTCTTCAAAAACTCTTACCATTTTCCCAGAATCGCTCAATGAAATAGGGAAATTTTTACAATTAAAAAAAATTGGCTTTCAGATTGAATATTTTTACAGTCAAGCTCCGGAATCATAAAGATACTATATTTTTTCGAAACAGTACGTCGAGTTCAATGTTCCAGATATTTTAGATAATTTTTGGAAATTTTCAAAAATTAGTTCTTCAAAGAGAAACTTTGACTTTTTTTTCGAACATCTTGGAATATGAACTAAATAGGATTTTTTCAGTACGTGGAGGCCTACATGTCAGATTTTTTGGAAAATTTTTAGATAATTTTTCCAAGGATTCAGGTTTTCAAAACGAAAATTTTGGCTTGTTTTCAAATAATGTCAAAAATTATCCACAAATTAGTCATAAGAAACACAACCCTCTGATGTAGATTTAATGGTTTCGTTGACCTTGAGCCTGAAATTCCTTCAAATTTAATGTCCTACAAAGTGTTTAGAAATTAACAATCAGAAACTAATTAAAAATAAGCACATAATAAGGAAAAACTGAACAAATGTACATCTGGTTTAAATGTGAACATATGACTGCTAATCCTATAAACATAGTATTAAAAACCAAAAATACATGGAAAACAGATCTAATAAATAATACCGGGTGTGAAAACAATTAAACAATAATTAAGCCAAAAACCACTTCAGCGTGTAATCAGCAATATATATTTTAGATACACAAAAAGCAATAAAGCAAGCTCTATTTTTGTAGGTTTTTATTATAGTAAATACATATGGTGTAGCTTCTAGTTGTTGAACATCATAAAAATAGCTTCGACCTTACTTATACAGGTGTTCCTGTCAATGTTCTTTATTTATATAGGTGTAAAAGTAGACGATTATTCGAACCTGCAATGTGTTTTGAAAACAACAACAAAAAAAAAATCCGTAATGTTTAGCCAACCATCTTATTTAGTTTAAAATTATTAATAAATCCTTTTTATCTTTGGGTGTGTTAATAGAGTTTTTAACAAGAGTAGATACAATACAACTACGACAACTACACTAGACTTACTTTCGTAAGGTGACGTTTCATTAATTTAATAATACAGAGACCAGACAGAGTTCCATCAAGTCTTAATAAGCTACCGTGGGAAGTCAACGACGGAGTAAGAATTAGAAACGTCACTTTATGAAATTAAATGAGGTGTAAGTATATGTGGAGTGGGATGTGCGTCGAACCTTTCCATTAAAATCTCCCCTATCTATTTATTTACCATCTCGAAGAGTGTCACAAAGCGGCAATATCGTGTGCGTCAGACCAGACACTTCCACTGATCCAATTTCGCCAGTCGATTTGTTTCATTGGAAAACTTCAAAGAAACGAAATTATTTTGCATCAAGAGAGACGTGATCCAGAAAGTCTCGGGACCTCATCCATATAGCGTTTTCTATCGGTTTGATCCTCGAAACTTTATTAACCCGCTATTGTCAACAAGAGCAAAGTTTTTCATTGGAGTTTATTATCTCAATTACCACATTACATATTTAAAATTACAAGGTTTAATTGAAGTATTTTCGCTAATATTAATTTGTATAAATAAAAAGAAATCTTGAAGAGTCACAACCAACGCTCGACGACACGACGTCCCTGAAATGAGTGCGAAGAGAGAAATTAAGTCCCTTTCGATAATAACTTACTTAACGATAGGAAATTAGTCTAGCTAAGAAATAACAATTAAGACATAGTGTTACACTTTTATCTAGACGAAGGTGATATTTTTGGTGGATTACTGAACGCACTTTGATTAATAGACATAGAACCTATACTAATCCAAATGATCAACTTTGATTATCATATATATAGTTTAACTACCGTCTATTTTAGTTTGATAATATTTTAAAAAACACGCCGCGGCGTGTCTAAATTTAGTTAGTCTAAATTTAATAGTAACAATCATTAAAACTATCCAATAACTGGAGTAGATACATTTAAAATTCAAATGTCCCGCGTTACACGCAACGCCATCTCGGGAAGACATCGGGGAACCAAAACAAGCTACAAGCTCTTAAGTTAAATGTTGAGTCAAAGTCGAGTTAGTCTTGACAGTCATCTATCTCTCTTAATTATTAGTCGTCGTTTTTATCGCGTTTTCCTTTATTAAAGTTGTGGCCAGGAAGGACGACGGCGTCCGTCCTGGTCACGTGACGTATCAGTTTAGTGCGGTTTGCCCGCGAAATTTAAAAGTCGGTTTATTTACACTGTCAGACCGTTGGAAGTGTCAAGATTGGAGCAAACCCCGGCGTACAGGTGGCAGTAGTATCGAAGAGGTGTCAAGATGGTAAACGGAAGTTGCTCTCAATCGTAGTCGTCTTCGACACGCGTACGCTCCGCCTGCTTCAACCTTGAGTGGATAGAGGGCGCGTGTCGCTGTTGGTTGTCATTTTCCAAAAATTTCGTATTGACTAGACTAAGTCCTAAAGTTACATTTGATTAAAATTAAGTCAACAAAAATAGGAATAACAAGTCAGACTTGAACTCAAAGCGAACGAAAACTCTCGCTTGTAAAAAAATTCTTGATTGTTTTTTTACACCGCCCCGAGGGGCCACGATGAAATTTAATTCACACTTCATTACATGTAGACAAAACTGTGAGTATGTTTAAACTACATAACAATAATGTTAACAATTTTCCGTTACAAGACGCTCGAAATCGTTCACAAACTTTCGATTTTGGAAATTTTAAAGGTGTAGAACAGTGTAGTCAGCCCATCTAACATCAAACTGTTGAAATTAAGGTAGATGAACAGAAGTAATGGGAAAATCAATAAGACAAAACTAATAAGTAACTGCATGAAATTCTACATGATGACGCATTTGCCTTTCTCTGCCCAAGGGTTGTTTTTCTTGTCGGGGGCGTGGATGAGTGGGTCGTTCTTCTCGTTTTCTTCCACGTACTCCCGCATGCTGGAAACAGAAAACACTAATTAATCTCTGATAAAACGCGCAAGTTACACGAAATCATCCCTTGTTTATTAACCGTTTTTACGCCAAGGGAGGCCGTTTGGGCGTCGTTTGCGAGTGTTTGTACATTAATTTTGCAACAGGCTCCAAGGGAAGTGGCGTATAAATCTATCAAAACGGGGGATTTATTACACTAGCAATCGGAGAATTGGCCAAGGCTATAAAAAAACAGGCGCGCGATTATACGCAGAACGCAGATTACCGTAACTATAAAAAAAAAATATTTTCTGAAACTGAGAGAAAAAAGAAAAGTAAATTCTCAGGAATTGTATTCTGCAATTGTGAGGGATTAAAATTATAGAGCAGTTAAATCATTTATTAGATAGATACATATGGCAAAAAAAAAAACTCCCAGAGACGTTATTAGATTTATACTTAGTTATAAGATATAAAGTAAAAAATGTATAGCATGATCAAGGTTTAAGAAATAATTTGTTCTTTCTAAAATTAACGTAAGACCAAGTTTTTTAGGATAAACAACTTTCCATTAGAGAATGCCGACTTTGTTTTCTCTATATGAAAATTTTGACTTTTTCTCTAGTACTTTGGAAATTTTCCAAAATCGATTCTTTTGTTTCTTTTGTTCGAGGATCGTCAAAATAAAACATTTTTAAAGTTTTTGACTTTTTCCCGAATACTGTTTTTTAACTTAAAAAATTCCTACCTCTTTCCGAATCGTAAAAACAAAACGAGAATTTCCGAATTTTTAAAAATTTATATTTTAAACTGAATATTTTGAAAATGTTTATGAACTATCAATAATTTTTTTTCGATTCAGATAGTCAAAATCTAAATTCCAAAATTTTGGTTTGATTTTTAAATAACTTCGCCACAAGGTCAAATTTTCGGATGATAACTTAAAAAAATATTTCAAGATTTTCGAGTACCTCGTAAAATTTTCAAAAAAGATTTTTTGTTTATTTAGACCTCTGGAAAAAAATCCTACCTCTTGTCCAGAATTTTCAAAATAAAATGTCATATTTTGAGATTAATAAAAATTTCAATTTTATACCGAATATTCTGAGAATTTTGATGGACGACCATCAACAAGCTGTTTTTCGATCCAGCTGGTTAAGATTTGTGTCCCAGAATTTTTGTTGATTTTTAAACAACTTCGCCAAAAGTTCAATTTTTCAATACAAAATGTACGAATTTTTTTACTTTTTCTCAAGTACCTTGGAAATTTGCAAAAAAGCTTTTTTTGCTTATTTAGATCTCCAGAAGTTCTTTTTAGCTTTATTTCTTCAAAAATTCCTTCCTTTTTTCCATAATCGTCAAAATTAAACATGGCTTTTTTCGAATTTTTAAAAACTTCAATTTTAAACAGAGTATTTTCAAAATCTTGATGAATAAGTTAGTTTTTCGATTCAGCTAGTAGAAATCTATTTCCTAATTTTTTTTCTAAATTTTTATGCAAATTCGCCAAAATCTAACTTTTCAATACGAAATATATGTGTCAAATTTCTGAGTTTTTCTCGAATACCTTGGAAAATGACCAAAAGAGACTATTTTGTCTACTTCGACCTTCAGAAGCTTTTATTAGCTTTATTTCTTCAAAAATTCCTACCTTTTTTCGAATCCTGAAAATAAAAGTCAATTTCCGAATTTTAAAAAAATCAGTTTTAAACCGAATATTTTGAAAATATTGTTAGGGAACTATCAACAAATTAGTTTTTTCGATTCAGATAGTTAAGATCCAAATCCCAGATTTTTTGTTTATTTTTAGACAACTTCGCCAAAAGCTCAATTTTTCTATTATGATAAAATTTTTGACTTAAGTTTTTCGAGTCCTTTGGAAAATTTTCAAACGGGATTTTTTTGTTTATTTAAACATTTGGAAGCTATTTTTGGCTTTATTTATTATTAAATTACTAGTTTTTGTTCAGAATCGTCAAAATATAATGTTAATTTCTGAGATTTTTAAAAATTCGAGATTTATATCCTAGAATTTTGTGTTTTTTTTTTTGGATAATTCGCCAAAATTTTAATTTTTTAATACCAAATGTACGAACTTTTATATTTCTTCCCAAATAACTTATTATTATTAAATAAATTATTTGGTTTTTTTTTTTTCAAAAATTGTTAAAATATAACACGGCATTTTTGGGATTTTAAGTATGTAATTTCAATTTTAAATCTAGATGGGGACTATCAACAAGTTATGTTTTTCAATTTCGCTTGTCGAGATTTATATCCTAGAATTTTCTGTAGATTTTTAGACAGATTCGCCAAAATTTAATTTTTCAATACGAAATGTACGAAATTTTTGACTTTTTCTCGGATAGCTTGGAAAATTACCAAGAGATTTTTTTTGTCTGTTTTGACCTCCAGAAGTTCATTTTTAGCTTTATTTTTTCCAGAATCGTCAAAATCAAATATGGAATTTTTTGAGGTTTTTAAAAATTTCAATTTTAAACCGAGAATTTCCAAAATTTTGATGGGGGAACCATCAACAAGTTAGTTTTTCGATTCAATTGGTAGAAATCTATTTTACAGAATTTTTGTAAATTTTTAAGGAAATTCGCCAAAATCTGATATATGTAATATATCAAATTTTTGACTTTTTCTCGAATACCTTGGAAAATTACTAAGATTCTTTTGTCTATTTCGAACTTTAGAAGCTCTTATTAGCTTTATTTCTTACAAAAAGTCATACCTTTTTCCAGAATCGCCAAAATAACATAAAGCATTTTTTGGGATTTTAAAAATTTCTGTTTTAAAGAGAATATTTTCAAAATCTTGATGGGGCAACCATCAGCAAGTTATGTTCTTCGATTTAGCTGGTTGAAATTTATTTCCTAGATTTGTTTGTACATTTTTGACAAATTCGCCAAAATTTAATTTTTCAATACGAAATATATGACAATTTTGACTTTTTCTCAGGTAGCTTGGAAAATTCCAAAAGAGATTTTTTTGTCTGTTTCGACGTTCAGAAGTTCTTTTTAGCTTTATTTTTTCAAAAATTCCTTCCTTTTTTCCAGAATAATCAAAATAAAATGTCATTTTTAATAATTTCAATTAAAACCTAGTATTTTCAAAATCTTGATGTGCAACCATCAATAAGTGGTGTTTTTCGGTTTAGTTGGTTCAAATTTCTTTCCTAGAATTTCAGTCAATTTCGCCCAAAACTTTTTGACTTTTTCTCTAACTTGGAAAAATACCAAAAGACTTTTTTTGCCTATTTCGACTTTCAGAAGTTGCTTTTAAGGTAATTCCTTGAAAAAGTCCTTCCTTTCTTCCAGAATCGTCAAAATAAAATATGGATTTTTTGATGTTTTTGAAAATTTCAATGTTAAGCATAGTATTTTCAAAATATTGCTGGGGCAACTATCAAAAAGTTATATTTTACGATGCAGCTGGTCGAAATAAGTATATTTTCTACAATTTTTGTGGATTTGTAGCAAATTCGCCAAAATCGTAATTTTTCAATATGAAATGTACAAAATTTTGTATGTCTTTCCAAATAACTTGGAAAATTACCAAAAAAAGTTCGTTTGTTTAGTTGGACTTTCAGAAGTTCTTTTTAATTTTATTCTTTCAAAAATTATTTCCTTTTTTTCAAAATCGTCAAAATAAAATTTCGCATTTTTGGGATTTTTAATAATTACTATTTAAAACCGACTATTTTCAAAATCTTGATGGGGGACCATCAACAAGTTATGTTTTTCAATTCAGCTGGTCGAGATTTATATCCCAGAATTTTTTGTAGATTTTTAGACAAATTCGCCAAAACTTAATTTTTCAATTGGAAATTTTTCACTTTTCTTCGGGTGCTTGAAAAATTACCAAAAGAGATTTTTTTGTCCGTTTCGATCTTCAGAAGTTCTTTTTAGCTTAATTCCTTGAAAAATTTCTTCCTTTTTTCCAGAATTGTCAAAATAAAATATGGAATTTTTGAGGTTTTTGAAAATTTCAATTTTAAACCGAGTATTTTCAAAATCTTGCTGGGGAAACTATCAAAAAGTTATATTTTACGATGCAGCTGGTCGAAATAAGTATATTTTCTACAATTTTTGTGGATTTTTAGCAAATTCGCCAAAATCTTAATTTTTCAATACGAAATGTACAAAATTTTGTATTTCTTTCCGTATAACTTGGAAAATTACCAAAAGAGGTTCTTTTGTTTAGTTGGACTTTCAGAAGTTCTTTTCAATTTTATTTCTTCAAAAATTATTTCCTTTTTTTCAAAATTGTCAAAATAAAATTTCGCATTTTTGAGATTTTTAATAATTTCTATTTAAAACCGACTATTTTCAAAATCTTGATGGGGGACCATCAACAAGTTATGTTTTTCAATTCAGCTGGTCGAGATTTATATCCCAGAATTTTCTGTAGATTTTTAGACAAATTCGCCGAAATTTAATTTTTCAATCCGAAATTTTTGACTTTTTCTCGGGTGCTTGAAAAATTACCAAAAGAGTTCTTTTTGTCCGTTGCGATCTTCAGAAGTTCTTTTTAGCTTAATTCCTTGAAAAATTTCTTCCTTTTTTCCAGAATTGTCAAAATAAAATATAGAATTTTTGAGGTTTTTGAAAATTTCAATTTTAAACCGAGTATTTTCAAAATCTTGCTGGGGCAACTATCAAACAGTTATATTTTACGACGCAGCTGGTCGAAATAAGTATATTTTCTACAATTTTTGTGGATTTTTAGCAAATTCGCCAAAATTTTAATTTTTCAATGTGAAATGTACCAAATTTTGTATTTCTTTCCGTATAACTTGGAATATTACTAAAAGAACTTCTTTTGTTTAGTTGGATTTCCAGAAGTTCTTTTTAACTTGATTTCTCCAAAAATATTTCCTTTTTTTCAAAATCGTCAAAATAGAATCCCGAATTTTTGTGATTTTTAATAATTTCTATTTAAAACCGACTATTTTCAAAATCTTGATGGGGGACCATCAACAAGTTATGTTTTTCAATTCAGCTGGTCGAGATTTATAT